ATCCTGACTCAGGGGTTCACCGCCTCCGAGGTCGATGGAGGTCGTTGGAGAAGAGAAGCCAATAGCGCTAATTGGTCAAACACCATAGGGTTCGAAGACAACTTTCGCGATGTCCATAATAATCGTATACTTGAACTAGCTATGATTTATCTCTCACCATTGGATTCTCCCGGGCAAGACTGCGGTCCACCCGATGATACGGAACATGGCCTGGTCCCCGATCACAGCATGGATGTAGAGAAAGGACAGTCCCAACGCAATAAAGAAGTCCTATCTATCATAGAAGATAACCAAAACTTTGGGAAAGATGGTGCGCTGCAGTTAGATCTCGGCAGGGAGGCTGCATTATCGCCGTCTCTAGTTCTAGGGTCTATAACAAGAGAAGAGGAATGAGTTGAACCTCTAGAGGGAAGTTCTTATAGCAAATTTTCTCGGTGATTCTCATCCAAATCCCCTACGCGTAGTCGTATCCTTATTAGTTCCGTATGCATCGCTCGGTTGCGATGATAGAATCATTAAGTGTCCGACCAAAGATGTGCATATTATAATACAAACAGTTATGCTGATGAACTCGGCTATTGGTCTTCATTGGTTCGCTGGGCGCTAGTTTGGGACCCGCTGTCTGGGTCAGACCAGTTAGGGCCGAGTGCCTCACTTATCCCCACCCCCAGAAATATCTCGCTCACTTGAACCAGATTTAGGCATCCTTTCAGGACAAAGATACCAGATCGACATACAACCTCTGAATAATATGGCTAGTCCAAGCGTGTCGGGGAATAATTTACCAAAATATCAGAATGGTATTACAGGCAATTCTACAAAGCCTATTCATCAAATTTGATTATGAAAAAGTATTTTTTGCGTTGATTATCGCTTCGCACTCATTGACACATGTTTTGGAGAATGTACAAGTCTGGCTTACAGAGCACGTGTATGGGAACCTAACAATGTTGGCTAGGCGAGGCCACGCTCGAATCCAAGGCATTGCATTCCTAGCCATTGTTCTCGAAAGTCATCATAGCCCTCCTTCAGATCCAAAGGTTTTCTCTATTTCACCACCGCTTAGTAACTTGTAGCCATTTGTTGAAAACAGCTTGGAGCGGTAAAATGGCGCTGCATCGTATATCTCATGGTCCTTCGCCTGAAATATAAGGAAATCCAGTTAGACACATCATGGAAGTGTTTAAGCAGAGATGAGGAGAAGGGCAAAGAGAAACTGATAACTCACCCTGGATTCCAGAGCAGCTGTGCTAACAGTCACTCTATTTGGCTGAGCTCCTGTCACGAGCTGGTGCTGGCGAACCTTGTCCTTTACCAGTTGCCCCAGTAAGAAGGCCAGAAGCTCTTCGTGATCTTTGGCATGAGAAAGGTATTTACGGAATCCCTAAATGGCGATGAATTTGGAATGAATTATACACGGGATTATAAAGTAAGCGAAATGACTGACCCTCTCCAAAGATCTTCGAACGCTGAGTTTTTGTGCACTCAAGAAACTGCCAACTGCCACAGAAATGGCCAAATCCACGTCGTCGGCGCGAACATATTCTCGTAAGTGTATCTTAGCACTCGCTTCGGCCATACTGGATTGGTGCAAGTAAATAAAACATTGCGGAGAATTCATTCTTGGGAGTACCCACCGAATCATGCTCTCAAGATGTCGAACAGTTATAGGGAAACTTCCTGTCGCTAAACTCTCTCTTCTCAAGTCTGCAAAGAGCCTGGCCAATTTCTCTCTATCCAGGTCATGGAGCTTTGGTTGGACTTTCTCTTTTGCGTACATAATATATTTTCGGAGTAGATCCTGAGGAATGAGCTATTGAATTGCGAGGTCATTAATATCCAGGTGCATAAGTGTGTAGGAGGAATAGAGATAGCTCACATCCTGGTCAAGACTGTCTCCAATGGTCATTTCCTCCTGCTCGCCCTCGAATTTAGGGTGGCTTCTTAGATGACTGCCTATGACAAATCGGGCCAGAAGCTGCAAGAGTGTTGATTCAGTACCTCCTCAATTTATCCTTATATGTTCAACACATACCTCGTCGACAACAGGATCCACGAGATCCCTCACTACACATAGCACGTCGAAACGAGATAAAATGGGTTCAGTGAGAGCCACATTTTGTCCAAACCCAACCGTCCCATCATATCTTCCCCTTATAGGATTGGCAGCAGCAATTACGGCGCATCTTGCCTAACGTTCAGCAGTCAGATTGTATCCACGGCGTCTCTGATACTCCATTATAAGAGTGGAGAAACACTCACTTGTAAGGTAGTAATGATACCCGCCTTGCTAACGCTAATAGTTTGTTGTTCCATAGCTTCGTGGATACTGGTACGGTCACTCTCGTTCATCTTGTCAAATTCGTCGATCAAGCATACGCCTTTATCCGCCAAAACAAGTGCACCTCCTTCGAGTGTCCATTCTCTCGTCACTGGATCCTTTCTGACACTCGCCGTTAAACCGACAGCGCTGGCTCCTTGACCGGTCGTAAAGACAGCTCTGGGTGCAGTCTTCTCCACGTATTTTAGGAATTGACTTTTCGCTGTACCCGGATCACCGAGCATCAACACGTTGATATCTCCCCTGATGCGATGCTTCCCCTTGATGTCCTTCTTGACACCACCAAAGAGAGACAAGGCAATGGCGGTTTTGATATCTTCATGTCCGTAGATTGAAGGTGCCATAGACTTGATGACTCGTTTGCTGATTCGTGGATCCTTGGAAAGGCTGCGGATTTCCTTTTCGTCTGCTTCGGTGAGTGTAAGAGCAAGAGAAGGGTTTGAGTTCCTTGATATATAGTTTGCTTCGATAACTGTGGAGAAAACTGGGAAACCGTTCTTGGTATTGAGGGAAGCGTCGAAGTTGTTTCGATAGATCCCAGTGATTTCCTATTACAATAGAATCAGTCAATGACTTCTCGTTACTACACAGTGGGAACGCACCACTTCCTCCCCAGGTTTTGCACCATCAATCAAATCCCAGAGAAGAATAACTTCCCTGTGTCGGGGTAGACGGCCTGGTGGCACACTTCCGGGTGCCTCTTGTAGGGTCATCCGCTGATAATTACGATAAACGGTCTTTTCGCTGTTGACAGTAAAGGGTCCTCTACTGTTGCATTGAGGGCAGACACTAATTTTGACTTCTTTATCGCCGGCCTTTCCACCACCGCCGACCATAGCATCTTGGTAGAAGGGACCAAGGACGGCCCCGCACTTTCTGCAGTCGAATTTAACGTACTTGAGTTGAGGGAAGACACCAGTGCGGCGGGTGATAACACCGCTGACGCGAACAAGGGAATTCAGATCGTTTCGTCGGAGAGAGCGAAGAGTAGAGAAAGTAGGGAGGTGCGTGATGCGCACATGAATTTCGGAATGGATGCGCTCATAAGATGGGTAAAAGAGCAGAACACAAGCTAAGGCTACTCCATCAAAGATACTGAGCATACTTGCGGGGGAGTTGGACAGGAAATATGCCAGAATAGCCTTTGAATTTGCCAAGTGCTGATAGGAGACCTCGAGAGATTCCGCGTTGTCTAAGTGATTATGTAAGGCGAATAGAATGTACACTAGGCCATGATTACATACTTTCACCCAAGTCCTTTATACGATTTCCGTAGACACTTGTACCAGAGTCGTCGGTATAACTGAGTAAGAAGTGCCTAAAGTGCGTCTCAATGGAGCGTTGGACGCTGGGTGTGGCAATCCATTCAGCAATCGAGTTGGCCTTGATATCACCAAGATGTTCGAGGGGGATCGTCTATAAACCAAAGTGAGCATCTGTGATTCGATATAATAGAAGGCCAGAACGTACATCTTCGATACCTTCGGCATCATCTACATCTTTCCTTTCATCGTATTGCTTTCTTACACGTGGCTTCATACCAGCCAACAGGTTTCCGGCGAGTCCCATATCTTCGTCGTCGCCCCCTTCACTCATCCCATCACTCAGAATGAAAGGCATTCGTTCACGGGCGGCCGCACGACGTCCAGGCCCACGTCCAGTGGCACGATCCCGTCGTTCCATAGCTTGTTCGGCAGCTCGACGCGCAGCGGGATCCATAGCTTCGAATTCTTCTTCATCATTGATATCTTGTTCAGAGTAGCGGTCGAGGCGATCATTTGCAGCATAGTCCCTATCAATCGAACCAGGAGTCTTAGTAAACTACAGTCCATTTGAAGCTGAATAAGTAAAAGGGAAATAGATGAGACTAACTCTTCCATGTCCTCTCCAAAGAGATCTATTCCTTCTCCTTCACCGTCTTCATCTTCATCAACTGGGCGGCCTTC